ATATAAATTAAATATAAAAATACATACATCACATCTAAAGCATATATATACATTATTTATTGATAAAATATATATATTTATACACATAAATACATATGTGAACCGTTTGACCCAGCCGGTCGAACTAGTGACTCGCAATCCAGAGGCAAAACAATTCGGCCTCCAGGTCAGTTTTTAAAGAACTGCTATTTATTTTTGTGAATATTTCATCATAATGGTTTCAATACCAAAAAAATAGTAATACAATTAAGTAATAAAATATTTTATATATGACCCACATGCTACAGGCCTACAACTAGTAAGCTAGTCACTAATAATGGATGGAGTGATATGCTTATCCTAATTTTTTTTCTTTATTTGCATATATTAATTTTTGTATTTGCTTTCATAGTTCAGTTGGTTAGAGCACCCGTTTAGTAAGCGGGAGGTCTTGAGTTAAAATCTCAATGAAAGCAATTATTTTATTTGAATTGTATAACTTATTGCTCTGTTAAGAAAAATAATTAAATATTAAACAATGTTTTTGGTGAATACTCTATAGTAATGGTTTCAATACCACAAAAAAATTAATGATAATTAAATAATGAAATATTTTAAAAGATATGAGAATCTACTCAATTTAAGTCATAAATAAAAGAACTTATTCCATTATCGGGATTTAAATTCAGGTCGCATGGGTAAAAGCCAAGTATCCTAACTGGATTAGATGACAATGGATTGATGAAGACACTAATGAAAATTTCATTGAATAATTATCTATCTTAGATATTACTAATATATAGTTAATTTTATATAATAATAAATTAATATTTAAATATTTAAATATAATTATTCAATAATTATTGATATGAATAAATTAATTTTCAAACATTTATGTATTTTATGAATAACTAATTACTAAAATATCAAAATAATTTAATATTTTAATTATTTTAATTATCTTATACATTTAATGTTTGAGAAGTTTCCAACTTTGTTACGGTGTTGAAGTGGGAGACACGGTGACATGGCTAGAGTCTAATAGTTGGATGATGTGGCAAAATGCGGAGCTTGGGTAGGGTGGAAGTAAACCCATATTGAACTTGGCTTGTTGTATTTATTTTTTATTATTTTAAAATTAAATTTAAATAGAGTTTAAATTAATTACTTTACTTTTATTAAATTTTAATTTATTTAGTAAATTGTTATTGATGTGTAATTTAAGTTATGATATTATGCTCAGTTTATTACTATTTAAAATTGTTAATCTTGTTACAATTTGTTGTTATAGATTAAGTATAATATTCATATAGTTAATTCTAAACTCAAATTACCCTTAAATACTAAACTTTTTTTTTTTGTTGAATCTGAATCGTAATGTTTTCAATAGAAAAATAAATTGTAATGGTAATTAAATAATAAAATATTTTAAGATATGGGAACCTACCCAATTTAAGTTGTAAATAAAATAAAAAATCTTATTCCATTGCCAGGATTTGAACCCGAGTCGCTTGGGTGAAAGCCATGTATCCTAAGCGGACTAGACAATAATGGATTGATGAAAACATTACTATAATTTTCATGTAATAATTATTAATTTCAAATATTACTAATATATAATAATAAATTAATACTTAAATATCAAAATTTGATTACTCAATAATTATTGACATGAATAAATTAATTTTCAATTGTTTATGTATTTTATGAATAATTAATTACTAAATATCAAAATTAATTGATATTATAATTATTTTAATTATCTTTACATTTAATGTTTGAGAAGTTTCCAACTTTGTTACAGTGTTCAAATGGGAGGTAGGGTGACATAACCAAGGGCTAATAGTTAGATGATGTGGCAAAATGCAGAGCTTGGGTAGGGTGAAGGTAAACTCATATTGAACTTGGCTTATTGTATTTATTTATTTTATTATTTTAAAATTAAATTTAAATAGAGTTTAAATTAAAAATGTTTACTTTTATTAAATTTTAATTTATTTAGTAAATTGTTATTGGTGCACACTTTAAGTTATGATATTATGCTAAGTTTATTACTATATATCTAAAATTTTAAATATTATTATAATTTGTTATTATAAATTAAGTATAATATTAATATAATTAATTTTAACAATTATTATTGTTAAACTTCAAAAATAGTAATTTATTTTGAATTTTCTATCATGTTAAACATTTTAAAATTAAAATTAAATTTTATTATAGTATAATATACAATAATTATAATTAATTATTAAATTTTTATTGATGATATGAAAAAATATTATGTGTAATTGTAATAATTTTCTAATTATGAAATATTATTATTTTTATCATTTGTCCTATTGTATTATTTTTTTCATTCTTATTAATCTCTTAGATATTTTTTACTCATCTTATTTGTATTTTAGATGAAGAAAGAGAGATAGAGGATTGGAAAAAAAACGTTAGAATTAGGGAATTAATTGTTTATTTTGAAATAGGTTAGGAGATGTTTTAGGATGAAGTTTTAGGTGAGGGAGATAGTTTAGGAGAACTTTTAGGTGAGGTGATGATTTAGTTGATTGATTGAGAGAGAGAGAGAAAGTTTAAGAATAAGATAAGGGGAAAGTAGAGTTTTGAAGGTGCATCAATCGAATTTGAATAACCCTTATGGGGTTGAATTTAAATTCAAAATCGAACAAATGGATACCATTTGTAGTCTTATTTATCAATCCATTCATATTTGAATTAGTCTTAAGGCGTCATTTTCATAATAAAGAGGTGCTAGTTAAGTTAAATGGGTAGAGATGTTCTGGAAGCTATGATATATGGGCAAAGGTGGCGGTTTTTCTGCGGCCAACTGTCTTAGTTTAAGTCATTTTTATGTTTACTAAATTCATAAGTTTAAGCCAATTTGCTTAGTTTGACTTATTTATGGTATATTCAATATCAATCTGAATTTTATCCAAATCAAATCTAAATCTGATGGATAGGATTTGATTCAAATCTGAATATTATCAAATTTGGATCTAGGTATATCCAATTCTTTCCCAATCCATTTGCAGCATTATCCAGTGTTTTTCCTCTAATTAACTTATTCACTCGAAGGTAAGAATTCAGTTCAGCCAATTCAAAAGTTTTTCAACATCCACTTAATAGTTAAGCCACTATATGACTACATTTTAATGTCTGATTTTTTTTTTACTTGGAACCTTTGATATTTTAAGCATGATTCGAGAATGTGGAGCCTACTACTTTCTGCATGTATTTGGCCCTAGCTACTATATAACGATCCAAAAAGAAATCACTGAAAATAAGTATAAACATAACAAGAAAATCTATAATTGGAGAACTTTTCAATGTAGAAATAGAGTAACAGATGTTCCAATTCAGAAGCAATTCACAATATAGAATGCTAACTTAGTCATTAAACGTTAAATAACTTGCTTTCTGTTTAGTTGCTTTCCATGCTGTCAATCTTCTGACTCTAATCTTAATAAGACCCATAAAATGGGATGAATCGTGAATGCTTTCTTCAGCCCCTTGATACCCACATTTTGCCTGCAGTGTACTGTGTATTGGGTCATGAGTTTCTTTAGATTCAATGGCCAAAGGATGACAACTCCTTCACGTGTAAGCTAGTTCCCTCTGAAAGTCTGAATCACTTCCCATGTGAAGAAAAAAAAATCCAAAATATGCCTTGGTAGCCAACCATCTACAATCTAGATCATAGCTTGCTTTTGGACCCCAAATCCTTCTAAATGCCAAGCTTTTTTTTGGGTAGGTTTCTAAATTCCATGTTTTGATCTTTAAAATATATGGCGTTTTCATTTGCTTCCGTCATCATTAATTAGATTCAAGTTGGCAACAACAAACTCCCTAAGGTGAAGATACCAGAAATTAAAAAAAAAAAAACATATATTAGTTAAATAATTATAATTAATTAACATTATAATGAGTTTATTGTACCAAAACTTTAGAGTTTGTGATGAATGAATTACAAGTGGGTGGTGATTCTAACATGGGAGCATGTGATTTACTTGCTATAAAATATCAGTGTATGTGAGTATATGGCCATGTGTTTGATAACGCTAAATTCGGAAGCTAACTGCAACTCTGCAACCATTTCATGTTTGTAACCTTGGATTCTAAATCCTTATTTACTTCAATCTTGATGGGGTTCCACTTTATGCTACTGAGGCCAGCTTCACCTGAACTTTAAGTCCATGGACCTGATTCGATTTTAATTCCATTGGTCTATCGAAGGACGTCCAGATTGAGCTGCACTGCCTCAAAGTTCTCAACCCAGTTCAAGTTTTGGTTTGATCTTTTCTGACCAAATCGATTCAGCCTGGAATTTAAATGGGCTTGGATTTTTGGTCTTTGGACTGGGCTTAGACCCAAGAATTTGAGATTTTCTTTTCCGAGCTGGGTTCGGGTCTAATCCTCACAGTCCAAACCTAATTCGATTATAAACATATATACATAGATACATACATACATATACAATGTGAATTGGGCTCAGATTAGAAAGACTGAATTTAACCTCAAGCTCCGGCATTAAACCTTAATTTTAGGGTTGGGCCTGAATTGACCATGAACCAGGCCCAACCCGCCCGACTTTCATCCCTACCCATTACCCGATCAACACCCAAAGTTGCACTACGTGGAGTATGCAATTAAAAGCTCACGGTTATTTGATCAATCCCCATAAATGAAGTCAAGATTCTCTCTAACTTGCATTATTTTCTAATAAATTTATGCAAATCATCTCATTCATCAGTTGGGCAAATGATTGGGAGTCGTTTTGGAAGTTGAGTCAAACCGACCCTTTCTCTTATTCTTTAATCTGTCATCCACCTCGACTCCTGAGCTGATCATGTGAAACGATTCCAATTTTAATAAACAAACACATTAACTCTTCTACATAACTGATCAGTTTATAAACATCACAACGCAACTCCATCTATTCCCACAGCGCTAGCATATAATCTTATTCTCTCGATCGATCTACAAGATTAATTAGTCAAGCTCAAACATCCATGGAGATCAAACAGTTACAGTCATGCAGCAGGCTCTTAGGAACCTTCCTTGTGCTTTCCTTCTCCCTTGCAGCACTGGCATCAGCGGATTCGACGACCCTCGAGGCCTCAATGACAGCTCGGTCGTCTCGGCGTGCATTGATAAGCACTCCAGCAGACGTAGTTCAGCAGTTTCTGATGCCCCATAACAGGGAACGTACCAAGCTGGGACTCCCGCCTCTGCAATGGAGTGAGAAGCTTGCTAGCTATGCTAGCTGGTGGGCGAACCAGAGGAAGGGAGACTGTGCTCTCATCCATTCCAACACCAACTACGGGGAGAACATCTTCTGGGGCAGTGGGAAGGATTGGAAACCTGCTGATGCTGTTGATGAATGGGCCGCTGAGAAACAATACTACGACTACAAGATGAATACATGTGTTCAGCACCAGGACTGTTTGCACTACACACAGATCATCTGGAGGCAGAGCTTGTATGTTGGTTGTGCTAGGGTGACTTGTGCGAGTGGAGACACATTCATCACTTGTAATTATGATCCGCATGGCAATGTTATAGGCCAGAAGCCCTTCTAATAGCCTCTGTGGGTGCCTTTGATGGTGGGAGTGAAAGTGGTGATTGGTGCAAGCCACCCTTCTTGATCCTACTGAAAATTGAGGTAATTGACAGACAGAGGTAGACAGCGAGCATCTGGTGAGCAAAGATGGATCTTAGTGTTAGTGGGTCTCTGTTTTCTTTTGCAGATCGGCTTTCTTCATTGTAGCAATCCATTCATTCACTGGTGGCCCCAGTATATATAGTATGCATACGTGTATAGAGTCTGTAGTTAAATTTCATTCTTGAGCTTTGATTTATTGTTATGTATTAACTATTAAGAGGTTGGAGAAGACTTACTTACCCATATTGATATGATCTTATTTTTATTAACCAAACATATGGGATTATTATACATAAATTAAAATTCAAATCAGCTTGCTTTAATACTACTAGTTTTGAATCAAATATATAAAAGCAAAAGGCACGTTGTACGTTCTCAGGATCTACTCCTTACACAGGGCGCCTCACGCGCCTCATACGCATATCCTACCATGCATTTAGGAACATCTCCCCTATTTATAAATTATTATTCGGGGGAGATATTCCCAATGCATGGTGGATGTGCATGTGAGGCGTCACACACCCCTGTCTGAGCAACAGATCCTGTTGCCTCCCCCACTTGCTCCCTACTCGGATTTGGTCATCACAAGACCGTATTCACACCGTGGGCACAGTCCCTTGCAATCATACGTTGAAAATATCTCCCCCATGAAAATAAACATATAACTACAGAGATATTTCTAATGAACGGGTGTAAAAGACTGTGAAGACAGTGTAAGAATGATTTTTTGACGACTGAATCCTAACTCTCTTGCTCCCCTTTCCTCATTGGACTTGAATCTACTACCCACAAGTTATTTTCACATCTCTACCCATAGGACATTAGAGTTACACATTAGAAATATCGTGGTGTTCACTAGGTATAGATGTGAAAACATTTTGTGAGTAACAGATCCGGAGATCGCCAGTTCGTTATTTTAAATATTTCCTCCGCAGAGCTAAACCAGATTTATTCTTTTTGAGTGAAACTAGATGTAATGAAAGTAACTCTTACAAAATCTTAAGCACTCTATATGATTATAAATACTTTTATGTGGCATCTGAGGGTCAATCAGGAGGACTATGGTTAGGTTGGAAACGACATATTACTCTTTCTATTAACTAAGGCAACTCAAATTATGTTCATGCTTCAATCTCAAATTGCCCACCTCACTTCAACTAGGAGATGCTTGGAGTTTATGGGAGTTCTACTAAGGAACTTAGATGCTCTGTTTGGAACCATTTACAAGAGCTTAGCGGGTCTATCCACAATCCCTGGTTCGTAATTGGAGATCTAAATGCCAAAGCCCATGAAGGTGAAAATTTTGGAGGGGCAGAGAGCTCATAGAAATCAAATGCAACTCTTTAAAGATTTTATTCATACCTGTGGACTAATTGATATTGGTTTCCATGGCCCTCCCTTTACCTGGTCAAATGGCCGTGATAGTTCAGACTTGATAATGGAAAGGTTGGACCATGCATTATGTTGCTTCCAATGGTTGGAAAAATACCCAAATTCCTATGTGCAACATTGGACATCAACCAGAAGTGATCATCTGCTAATTGTTCTATACACAAGTTCAAATAGGACCAATTACATGAGCAGCCCAAGATTTGAAGCAATCTGGACTTGGGAACCCGGTTTTAATAGCGAAGTTGATTCAGCTTGGAAGCAAGAGAGGGGTTCCTTCTTACAAAAGTGTATGGCTTGTAAAATCTACATAACAAAATGGGGGAGGCAAATTCTAGGCAACTTTCGCCAACGAATCCATGACATTGAAGAGAAAGTTACGGGCAATTCAAAATAGAAGTGTTGATGCTCCTACAAAGATGAAAGAGTTGTCTTTGAGAGCTGAACTTAACCACTTGTTAGAAGCAGAGGAATTGTATTGGAAGCAAAGATCCCGGGTCACCTAGCTCCGAGAAGGGGAAAGAAATACTTCTTTTTTTTCACATCTCTGCCTCCAATAGGAGAAGAAATAGCATTCAATGGCTACAAAATAGTACATGGTCATGGACAATAGATAGAGAGGAAATTGCTGCCACTGTGAAGGAGTTCTATGAGCATCTCTACAATCTTCCCACCCAACTCTCCCGCATATTGGAGATGATGTCATACCTAGTACGATAAGTAGTGAAGACAATGAATCTTTGTGCAAGGTACCCTCCTTTGAGGAAGTTAAGGATGCACTTTTCAGTATTGGACCTCTTAAGGCCTTGGGGTCGGATGGATTATTACCAGCTATTTTCTTTCAAAGGAGTTGGAATGAGATAGGTAGTGATCTTGTGAAGTTTGTTCAACAAATTTTCATCACTCCAGAGACTGTTACAGAAGCCAATGTCACTCTTATTGTCCTGATCCCGAAGAAAGATAGCCTCCAAACAGTGAAGGATTTGTGTCCCATCAGACTCACTAATGTAATTTACAAAGTGGTGGTCAAGATTATAGTTAATCGTTTAAAGCAATACTTGGACACAATGTTAACCCCTTACCAAAGTGCCTTCACGCCAAGACGTCAAATTTATGATAATAGAATTATTGCTTCAGATGTGGTTCACACTCTCAGTCATATGCAAGGGAAGCATGGGGGATTCATTTTAAAGCTTGACCTAGCCAAAGCCTATGACAAGATCGAGTTGTCTTTCCTGGAGTGGTGTTTGAAGAGAAGAGGCTTCTCTGCCCATTTCTGTAAGCTAATTATGTGTTGTATTGCTTCATCAAGTTTTAGCATTTTACTAAATGGTGAAAAGAGTGAGAGGTTTACCCCAGAGAGCTGTCCCCTCTCCCCGTACCTCTTCATTTTATGTACTAATGTTTTGTCGAGAATGCTTGATAAACAACTTCAGGTGGGGGATCTTCATGGAATTAAATTTGGAAGAAGCAATATCAAGATCAATCACCTGCTATTTGCTAATGGCCTTCTCATCTTTGGACGTAGTAGCCCTTAGAGCTAAACAAAGTTAAAGAGACGCTTGAGAAATACTGCAGTTGGTCTGGAGAGGAGGTCAATTTTGAGAAGTCCTCAATCCACTTTAGTAAAAATGTTCACTGCCGTGAAAGAGAGATGTTGGCAGATCAGATTGGTGTGGCACACATGCAATGCAACGAGAAAGGTAGAGTCCTAGCATTTTCTTATTGACAAAATAAGTGCAAAATTAAAAGGGTGGAAGATTCGTTGCTTCTCACACGTGGGAAGAGAAATCATGATTAAATCAACACTCTTTGCAATTCCCAATTTTTTCATGGCAATCCATAAGGTATCGCATGCTACTTTGGAGAAAATCACCAAAATGATTTGTGACTTCTCTTGGGGCTTTGATCAAAATAGGAATCATGTCTACCTGAAAGCATGGAGTGAATTTACACAAGCTAAATGCATTGGGGGGTTGGGCTTTAAAAGGCTGGAGATTACAAACAAATGTTTGCTAATGAAACTTGGATAGCGATTCCATAAGGAAATAGAAAGTCTAGGGAGTAAGGTCCTATGAGCAAAATATCTATCACAAGGATCCTTCTGAGGCACAAAGAATAGTCCAAGCAAATCAATTATTTGGAACACTCTTCTTAGATGTCGACCTCTGCTGTTGAAAGCAGTTAGGATTTTAATCAACTCAGGGTGGGATACTCATGTCCTTTTGGACCCTTGGACTTTTCCCCCATTGAATTGTGGCCACATGGTGAACAATGTTGAGGCTGAAAGTTTAAAGGTTGCTGAGCTTATCAATTCTCTTACTGGCACATGGCGTTTCAACCTTGCTGAAAAATGAAGTTATACATTCATTTCTTCAAACTCCATTATCACAAGGTCATGAGCTCATCTCGGATAGACTGGTTTGGACTTGTACGCCTTCTGGGATTACAACTTTGGCTTATAAGCTTATATCCTCAGAGGATCCAGACACTTCTTCCCAAACCGAAGCCTTCCCTGAGGTAAGCTGGAAAGTATTTTGGAAGTACAAGAAGCTCCCACCCCGGGTTCATGTTTTTTTGTGGTGTTGTATTAAGAACACCTTACCTCTTGGGGCAACCCTTGCAAAGTACTGTCAGGGAGTAAAATCGACTTGTTGTGTGTGTATGGAGGCTAATGAAATAATGTGACATAGATTCTTTCACTGCTCTGCCATGAGAGCAGTTTGGTTTGGTCTCCAAGTCCAGTTGATTGATGTTAATTCCCAGCATGAAGTCAATGATTGGTTAGCAACTTGGTGGACTGCAAACAACAATCACCCACTTCCAGGGGTTGAAAATTTTCTTTTGGGGTCTTTGGTATTATGGTATGCCTGGAAAGCTCACAATAAAATGGTGTTTGAGGGTAAAAAGTTTAACCCCACTTTAGTCTTACAAGAAGCTATCACACACTATGAAGAAATCTGGAACTTACAGTGCATGGACCAAGAAGGGTCCCCTTCTCTGGCCATGTCCCACCCAAGGTCATGGCTCCCCCCCTCCCCCCAATGTATTAAAAGTGAATGTTGATGGAGACATGGGTCCGCTTTACTCTGGTATTGGAATTATTATCAGAGACTTAGGAGGAAATTTTTACATGGCTAGAGCCATGAACATTGAACGTAGTACCTCAGAACAGATCGGAGCTCTAGCTTTCTTTGAGGGCATCAAGCTAGCCATTGAATTACAGATCTCTTCAATTGCCCTAGAAGGAGATGCGCAAAAGATAGTCTCTCTCTACTATTGAACCCCTCCTTAGTGGTTCCTTGGCGCATTCACCACTTGATAGCCGAGTGCAGAAGTCTCTTGCGAATGTTCTGTCTTTTTTTCTATCTCATTTGTCTATTGTACGGTTCTACCCCACCTGATTTTCTACTACCAATACTATTGAAAGATGTAATGAGATGATTCAACCTAGGGCTTTTCAAAAATAAAATAATTCCTAATATTAAATGCATTTCAGAGGAAAATTTTTGGACCAATGCTACATTTGGAAGTTAATGCATGTAACAGATTTTAATCAAAGGGAAAAAGAAGACGATAAATAATAGTTGTTTGGTGTTAAGGATATATCTCAGCTCAGCAGATGAGGATAAACCTCGAAGAGAAAAGAGTCCTTGCTAGGCATTAAAATCTCTTCACCCAAGTCTTAATTCTATCATCTATGTCGTCTGTAATTGTGTCGTGTATGACAAATCCTTTTCCTTTTTCTGTACTCCATTTAAATTAATACAGAATGGGCAGGAATTATCA